TGTAGTAGAAATAGTAGTAAAAGGAGTAGTAGCTGTGGTGAGTGGGGGTAGTAGCGGTAGTAGTAGTAGTAGTGGTAGTAGTAGTAGCGGTAGTAGTAGTGGTAGTAGTAGTAGTAGTAGTGGTAGTGGTAGTGGTAGTAGTAGTAGTAGTAGTGGTAGTGGTAGTAGCGGTAGTAGTAGTAGTAGTAGTGGTAGTGGTAGTAGTAGTAGTAGTAGTGGTAGTGGTAGTGGTAGTAGTAGTAGTAGTAGTAGTAGTAGTAGTAGTGGTAGTAGTAGTAGCGGTAGTAGTAGTGGTGGTAGTAGTAGTAGTAGTAGTAGTAGTAGTAGTGGTAGTGGTAGTGGTAGTAGTAGTAGTAGTAGTAGTAGTAGTAGTAGTAGTGGTAGTGGTAGTGGTAGTAGTAGTAGTAGTAGTAGTGGCAGTAGTAGTAGTAGTAGACTAACATAAGGTCTCTGAAATGAACATATCGTACAGAAAAAAACAGTTGCTCAGTTATCTTAATAAAAATATAATAAAAAGGGAGTCCAGTGATTCTCTTCATTTTCAGATACTGCAGTAATCTAGACTTGCCAAACATTATAGACTTGCATGGGCTGTAGTTGATATATTTGTATCAGGGTCTGTAAGACAGACTATCGTAGTAGTGGTGGTAGTAGTGGTAATTGTGGAAGTTGTGGTGATAGTTGACAATTCAGTGAAGGTACATTGTTTAATACCAGCAACGTCAATGTTTTCTTCGTCTTCCACGACAACACCGTCGTCTCTAACTTAAAGACCAATAACCAATACCCGATCAGACCTATCGATCAGCTTACATTCCCCTTTATCCAAATTCCGCCAAAATATAATGCTTTTCTCCTGAGCCTACTTTGATGACAACAGAGAGTCGTGCTGACACGGCAATCAAAGAACATACAATGGCAGTCGCAGCTCGGGACTCCGAATGAAGCCATGCATTCATCACTCTCTGCTACTGATGGTGGTATCGCGGGATTAGCTGTGATAAAGCTTCGTCTGGACAGTCTTCGCGTGGGGGCAGACAGCACATAGTTTAGTCAGAGTGGGTTTCCAAAGCCGATTGCACTGCATGTGACGGCAATATGGAGATATATTGCACGGCGGTATGAAGTTATATTGCACTATGCCATATGCGTCACGGATAAGCTCCTCGTCATAAGTGTAGAAGGAGAGGGAAAAGAAGAGATATTGACAGAACCGCGTAACGCCTGATTGTTATTGATCACGTTAAAGACATGGTAGCGAGGCGACGTCAAACGCCATAATTTGATAACGTTTTAGTCCACTGTAAAAGGTTTTAATATTCGATCAGGGACACTGACAGACCTTACATATTACAGAATTTTAGATATTGAGTATTGAGTATTTGAGTATTATTGTTCACACTTTTGTTGCCGACCATACGTTGGCAAACAACGCAGTGCCGTACACCGTGTGCCGACAACCTTCAACCACCACGTGGAAGCTACATTGGCGTGGAGTCTTGACGTGGATTGTACATTGGCGTGGAGTCTTGACGTGGATTGTACATTGGCGTGGAGTCTTGACGTGGATTGTACATTGGCGTGGAGTCTTGACGTGGATTGTACATTGACTTCTGGACCTTGACGTGGGAGGTACATTGACTTCTGGACCTTAACGTGGATTGTACATTGACTTCTGGACCTTGACGTGGATTGTACATTAACTTCTGAACCTTGACGTGGATTGTACATTGACTTCTGGACCTTGAGGTGGAAGGTACATTGACTTCTGGACCTTGACGTGGAAGGTACATTGACTTCTGAACCTTGATGTGGATTGTACATTGACTTCTGGAACTTGACGTGGATTGTACATTGACTTCTGGACCTTGACGTTGAAGGTACATTGACTTCTGGACCTTGACGTGGAAGGTACATTGACTTCTGGACCTTGACGTGGGAGGTACATTGACTTCTGGACCTTAACGTGGATTGTACATTGACTTCTGGACCTTGACGTGGATTGTACATTAACTTCTGAACCTTGACGTGGATTGTACATTGACTTCTGGACCTTGAGGTGGAAGGTACATTGACTTCTGGACCTTGACGTGGAAGGTACATTGACTTCTGAACCTTGATGTGGATTGTACATTGACTTCTGGAACTTGACGTGGATTGTACATTGACTTCTGGACCTTGACGTGGAAGGTACATTGACTTCTGGACCTTGACGTGGATTGTACATTGACTTCTGGACCTTGACGTGGATTGTACATTGACTTCTGGACCTTGACGTGGAAGGTACATTGACTTCTGGACCTTGACGTGGATTGTACATTGACTTCTGAACCTTGACGTGGATTGTACATTGACTTCTGGACCTTGACGTGGAAAGTACATTGACTTCTGGACCTTGACGTTGAAGGTACATTGACTTCTGGACCTTGACGTGGATTGTACATTGACTTCTGGACCTTGACGTGGAAGGTACATTGACTTCTGGACCTTGACGTTGAAGGTACATTGACTTCTGGACCTTGACGTGGATTGTACATTGACTTCTGAACCTTGACGTGGATTGTACATTGACTTCTGGACCTTGACGTGGAAAGTACATTGACTTCTGGACCTTGACGTGGAAGGTACATTGACTTCTGGACCTTAACGTGGGAGGTACATTGACTTCTGGAACTTGACGTGGATTGTACATTGACTTTCTGGACCTTGACGTGGATTGTACATTGACTTCTGAACCTTGACTTGGATTGTACATTGACTTCTGGACCTTGACGTGGAAAGTACATTAACTTCTGGACCTTGACGTGGAAGGTACATTGACTTCTGGACCTTAACGTGGAAGGTACATTGACTTCTGGAACTTGACGTGGATTGTACATTAACTTCTGGACCTTGACGTGGATTGTACATTGACTTCTGAACCTTGACTTGGATTGTACATTGACTTCTGGACCTTGACGTGGAAAGTACATTAACTTCTGGACCTTGACGTGGAAGGTACATTGACTTCTGGACCTTAACGTGGAAGGTACATTGACTTCTGGACCTTGACGTGGATTGTACATTGACTTCTGGAACTTGACGTTGAAGGTACATTGACTTCTGGACCTTGACGCGAAGGTAATGTTCATTGAACACTTTGTAATCTTGACGGTGATGGTACATCGATTACTATGGAACATTAAGTGAGTCGGTGTGTGAGTGAGTGTGATTTTACGCCACTTTTAGCAATACATGTATTCCAGTAATATCACGGCGGGGGACACCAGACATGGTCTTCACACATTGTACTCATGTGGGGAATCAAACCCGGGTCTTCGGCGTGGCGAGCGAACGCTTTAACCATTAGGCTCCCCGACCGCACCCTATGGAACATTGACGGGGGTGGTATTTTGACTCGATGTAACCTTGACACTTATGTAACTTACATGTAAATACTTTATGTTCCCATGGTCAGGGTAGATTCAAGACGTCGACATGTGGAAAGGCAAAATAACACTGGTTTGCACTCTTTAGAACAAAAGCCTACAACAGGAATCAGGTTTTCAATGCCACTGTTGTAAGGCGGCGTATTTCACGTGGTGTATTACACTGATATAGATTCGTTGTCACAAGCCATTTTGAAACAGACACGAATACCATTCTTGTATATGTGTATTCGGATTCATGACCAATACAACACTACACATGCATATGACTGAGTTATTGTTGCACAAGGGCGGTCGGGTAGCCTAGTGGTTAAGGCGTTCGCTCGTCACGCCGAAGACCCGGGTTCGAATCCCGACATTGGTACAATGTGTGAAGCCCATTTCTGGTTTCCCCCGCCGTGATATTACTGGAATATTGCTAAAAGCGGCGTAAAACCATACTCACTCACTCACTATTGTTGCATCACAAGCATCTAGACGGGTCTGTTCCTGAGGGACAACTCTACGAAAATAAACTGCTCACAGAACAGTTGTAACATCCACACGTGTCTGGGTGTCCTCTGGTCATGTGTTATAATGTTGTTGGGGTTTTAAGGAAATACGTATACTAATCAACCTTCAAGACTTTCCTCATCTAAGGGTTGTGCAATTTGTAAGACTTTGTTGTATCCAAGATTTAATCCTAGACACAAACAGTTTGCAATTGTGTCCCTGCATAGCGCACAGAGTGTTTCAAGACCCGAGAGCCTGTGAAACCTCAAGACTTTCCTCATCTAAGGGTTGTGTAATTTGTAAGACTTTGTTGTATCCAAGATTTAATCCTAGACACAAACAGTTTGCAATTGTGTCCCTGCATAGCGCACAGAGTGTTTCAAGACCCGAGAGCCTGTGAAACCTCAAGACTTTCCTCATCTAAGGGTTGTGTAATTTGTAAGACTATGTTGTATACAAGATTTAATCCTAGACACAAACAGTTTGCAATTGTGTCCCTGCATAGCGCACAGAGTGTTTCAAGACCCGAGAGCCTGTGAAACCTCAAGACTTTCCTCATCTAAGGGTTGTGTAATTTGTAAGACTTTGTTGTATCCAAGATTTAATCCTAGACACAAACAGTTTGCAATTGTGTCCCTGCATAGCGCACAGAGTGTTTCAAGACCCGAGAGCCTGTGAAACCTCAAGACTTTCCTCATCTAAGGGTTGTGTAATTTGTAAGACTTTGTTGTATCCAAGATTTAATCCTAGACACAAACAGTTTGCAATTGTGTCCCTGCATAGCGCACAGAGTGTTTCAAGACCCGAGAGCCTGTGAAACCTCAAGACTTTCCTCATCTAAGGGTTGTGTAATTTGTAAGACTTTGTTGTATCCAAGATTTAATCCTAGACACAAACAGTTTGCAATTGTGTCCCTGCATAGCGCACAGAGTGTTTCAAGACCCGAGAGCCTGTGAAACCTCAAGACTTTCCTCATCTAAGGGTTGTGTAATTTGTAAGACTTTGTTGTATCCAAGATTTAATCCTAGACACAAACAGTTTGTGTCCCTGCATCGCGCACAGAGTGTTTCAAGACACGAGCGTCTGTGATATGTTGTCAGTAAACACACAATAAAAACACCATGTCTCGCTCATCGATTTCCCACCCGCCAGAGGAGATCGAGCGTCGCCTCAACGAACACTGTATCACCGGGTTGTTCGTGTGACGCAATCATCCTGAATAAGGATCTATGCCTCTTTCAGATCCAGTGCTAGACACTGACCACAAGCCCAACAGATGTGCTGCCGGTGTGACAGAATGGAATACAGCATGAAGACAGGATAAGGTATGGGACTTAAATATGATCGAACTACTATTCCCTGCTGTAGTTAACGTGGACAGGTACTAGTGGGCTATACGGTTCAGGCTAAACAGGCGTCTTATATTATTTATTTGTTGAAATCCAAACAGTTCAAAATACCATTGTCACAATGAACCGACATGGGGCTTGGTACTCCTGGTATCGGTGCGGACGTTGGTATAATAGTTTAACACTAAGGCAGTTCCGAGTCAACAGTTTAATGTTTTAATATTGCAGGTGCGACGGTCTCATTTATGTATGTTGATTCACGGCGAAACTTTAGGCACTTTGACTGCACGTGTTATCCGTTGATTCCTGGTACAACTTTCGACCCTGTGACAGCACGTGTTTTCTGTTGATTCATGGTGAAACTTTATACCCTGTAACAGCACGTGTTATCAGTTGATTCATGGTAAAACTTTAGACCCTGTGACGGCACGTGTTATCTGTTGATTCATGGTGAAACGTTAGACCCTGTGACAGCACGTGTTATCTGTTGATTCATGGTGAAACGTTAGACCCTGTGACAGCACGTGTTATCTGTTGATTCATGGTGAAACTTTATACCCTGTAACAGCACGTGTTATCAGTTGATTCATGGTAAAACTTTAGACCCTGTAACGGCACGTATTATCTGTTGATTCATGGTCAAATTTTATACCCTGTAACAGCACGTGTTATCTGTTGATTCCTGGTAAAACTGTAGACCCTGTAACAGCACGTGTTATCTGTTGATTCATGGTAAAATTTTAGAACCTGTAACAGCACGTGATATCTGTTGATTCATAGTACAACTTTAGACCCTGTGACGGCACGTGTTATCTGTTGAATCATGGTAGAACTTTAGACCCTGTGACGGCACGTGTTATCTGTTGATTCACGGTGAAACTTAAGACCCTGTGACGGCACGTGTTATCTGTTGATTCATGGTGAAACTTTAGACCGTGTGACGGCACGTGTTATCAGTTAATTCATGGTAAAACTTTATACACTGTAACCGCACGTGTTATCTGTTGATTCATGGTAAAATTTTATACCCTGTAACAGCACGTGTTATCTGTTGATTCATGGTAGAACTTTAGACCCTGTGACAGCACGTGTTATCTGTTGATTCATGGTGAAACGTTAGACCCTGTGACAGCACGTGTTATCTGTTGATTCATGGTGAAACTTTATACCCTGTAACAGCACATGTTATCAGTTGATTCATTGTAAAATTTTAGAACCTGTAACAGCACGTGATATCTGTTGATTCATAGTACAACTTTAGACCCTGTGACGGCACGTGTTATCTGTTGATCCATGGTAAAACTTTAGACCCTGTAACGGCACGTGTTATCTGTTGATTCATGGTGAAACTTAAGACCCTGTGACGGCACGTGTTATCTGTTGATTCATGGTGAAACTTTAGACCGTGTGACGGCACGTGTTATCAGTTAATTCATGGTAAAACTTTATACACTGTAACCGCACGTGTTATCTGTTGATTCATGGTAAAACTTTATACCCTGTGACGGCACGTGTTATATGTTGATTCATTGTAAAACTTTATACCCTGTAACAGCACGTGTTATCTGTTGATTCATGGCAAGACATATTTGTTGAATTACCACGAACTGTTAGACACTTTGACCGCACGTGTTATCTGTTAATTCAATGCGATAATTTAGACTCTTTGACAACACGTGTTTGGTTTAGATTGGACTTGGACTGGATTGAACCGTAGGTTTTTGTTGGATTCATATATATATATATGCTAGTGAGAGATGCAGGTGTTCGCCTACGTGCTTCCAAGTGCCTCCAAGTGCTTCCAAGTGCTTCCAAGTGCTTCCAAGTTTGTGCTTGTAACAGTTTATGTTGTACAATTTATAGTGGTCCTTGGACTGTGAGTGCCCCACCAGAGAGATGATGCTCGATCAGCTTTAATGAACAGCTGATGTAGTGGTGTGTCAAATTCGTTGTTAAATTTATTTCAAAATGAATACTGAAGATACCTTCGAACAAGTATCATGAATAATCATTTTTTAATCCAGCGTAAATGAATCTCTCGTTACAAAATGGCTGCTAAATTCAAGTCAGTGTTTTATGCGGTGATTCGTTAAGTGCTAGCATATCCCTCCTGTCACGTGGAGAGGTATAGCAGGTGCCCCTTGAGTATGCCATAAAGACAGGAGCTACTTTTTACCCACCGTCGTCAATGACGCCCTACACCCACGGCCGTGTTCCGCTATCCACGGCCCGGATTGGGGTTAAGCCTCGCCGATCACTGAGACGATAATGGTTTATTTATTTGTATATGTAATGGGCAACTCCAGGTTTATTTACAATAGATCCGGTAGTCGACTAACACTTGAAGGTATGCATACTCACGAGGAGAGCCCGTCTTGCTGACAGAAAAACGACGTAAGGATTATTAGGTATGGCCTGGTATCCGACTGGGATCGCTGTGGTATTGGGAGTAGTGGTAATACGCGTCGATTGCGTCCCTTAGTCATGTCAGGATCCAAAGATAGCCTATTTGATTAACCTTAACATCTATAGGGAGAGAACATGAAATACACCGTCTCACTTACCTGTCGAGGCAACACACTATCTCACTCACCTGTAGGGACAATACACCGTCTCACTTACCTGTCGAGGCAACACACTATCTCACTCATCTGTAGGGACAATACACCGTCTCACTTACCTGTAGGGACAATACACCGTCTCACTCACCTGTCGAGGCAACACACTATCTCACTCACCTGTAGGGACAATACACCGTCTCACTCACCTGTCGAGGCAACACACTATCTCACTCATCTGTAGGGACAATACACCGTCTCACTTACCTGTAGGGACAATACACCGTCTCACTCACCTGTCGAGGCAACACACTATCTCACTCACCTGTAGGGACACTACACCGTCTCACTTGCCTGTCGAGGCAATACACCATCTCACTCACCTGCAGGGACAATACACCATCTCACTTACCTGTAGGGACAATACACCGTCTCACTCACCTGTCGAGGCAAAACACCATCTCACTCACCTGAGGGACAATACGCTGTCTCATTTACCTGTAGGGACAATACACCGCCTCTTTACCTGTAGGGACAATACACCGTCTCATTTACCTGTAGGGACAATACACCGTTTTCACTTACCTGTAGAGACAATACACCGTCTCATTTACCTGTAGAGACAATACACCGTCTCATTTACCTGTAGAGACAATACACCGTCTCATTTACCAGTAGAGACAATACACCGTCTCACTTACCTGTAGGGACAATACACCGTCTCATTTACCTGTAGGGACAATACACTGTCTCATTTACCTGTAGGGACAATACACCGTCTCATTTACCTGTAGGGACAATACACCGTCTCATTTACCTGTAGGGACAATACACCATATCACTTACCTGAGGGACAATACACCGTCTCATTTACCTGTAGGGACAATACACCATCTCACTCACCTGTAGGGACAATACGCTGTCTCACTGGATTGTTTGTATGTAAAATACATCTCTTTTTGCGAACAATTTAACTGACCTAGTTTCTAAACGTTTGTCAGTCGGTACAAAGCACATTGAATATTTGTGAAAGGGAAACTACGCATGTGGTTGTTGATGGATTTATAATACAGTATGTAGTGGGTCAGAGGACACGTATAAGAATCAAGTACAGAGGGGTTCAAAGGCTGGCGTCAGGGAAGAGTTCGGCCTGGGTTGAAAGGGGGCGGTGCGCTTGAACGTTTACGTACCACGTAAGTCATCTCGCGTCGCACTTTGAAAGACAGGCATTTATACTTTATGGCATGAATTAGTTTTGGGGCGTGTAACGGATATTAATCGTGAATCCAGAGCGTTATCGGTATAACTGATGACCGAGGTACCCTCTCTTCCAAGCCATTACATCTATTTGTATTACAGAAGCTCAAAGCGCTATACATGGGCGAGTGAGACGTAGTTCCCGAGGCGTCTGAATGCATTGTCAGCGGACATATTGCCACCGGACTGTGGTTCTTCTGCTTTAATACCTCACCCGTAGCTGGTCCTCGCACATCACGGATCAGTGGACTGTGTTGGGCTGTGTGGTTTGGTATTGTCATGTTGTGTCTTGCTGTGTTGTGCTGTGTGGTTTGGTATTGTCATGTTTTGTGTCTTGCTGTGTTGTGCTGTGTGGTTTGGTATTGTCATGTTGTGTCTTGCTGTGTTGTGCTGTGTGGTTTGGTATTGTCATGTTTTGTGTCTTGCTGTGTTTTGCAGTGTGATTTGGTGCTGGTTGTGTGGTTTGGTGCGTCTTGGCGTTGTGCAGTATGTTTTGGTGTTGTGTTCTGTGGCTAGGTGATGTGCAGTGTGTTTTGTTGTGGTTTGTTGTGGCTTGGTGATGTGTAGTGTGGTTTGTTGTGGCTTGGTTTTGTGTAGTGTGTGCAATGTAGGGACATGTTACGTAAATATAATGGGCAGTGTGGAAACAGGTAACATAAATATAATGTGTAATGTAGGGACAGGTTACATAAATATAATGTGTAATGTACGGACAGGTTACATAAATATAATGTGTAATGTACGGACAGGTTACATAAATATCATGTGCAATGTAGGGACAGGTTGCATAAATATAATGTGTAATGTAGGGACAGGTTACATAAATATAATGTGTAATGTAGGGACAGGTTACATAAATATAATGTGTAATGTACGGACAGGTTACATAAATATAATGTGTAATGTAGGGACAGGTTACATAAATATAATGTGTAATGTACGGACAGGTTACATAAATATCATGTGCAATGTAGGGACAGGTTGCATAAATATAATGTGTAATGTAGGGACAGGTTACATAAATATAATGTGTAATGTAGGGACAGGTTACATAAATATAATGTGTAATGTACGGACAGGTTACATAAATATAATGTGTAATGTAGGGACAGGTTACATAAATATAATGTGTAATGTACGGACAGGTTACATAAATATCAT